GGTCAGGGATAACTCGGGTTCCTTTTTCGGGAATCCAAGCCCGAGTTACCCCGGACCCGAGTTACCCCGGATAACTCGGGCGCCCAAGTGAAGTCGGGCACGTCCCTCTCTACAGGAGGGAAGTGCAGAAGCAGAAACAAAGACAGTACGGGGACGGTTGTGCTGCTAGGTCTGGGCCTTTGGGTGCAGAGTCATGTGGGTAGGTGTTCAATGTTTCTTCCAAGATCGGCCTGCAGGAGGACATGCCCGATCTAAGGCCAGAGGCAGCGCGAGTCTGCGGCAGGCTCGCGTCATTCTTGAGCAGTGGCGAGGAGCGTCCGGGCTTGCCTGCAGGCCCACGGAAGGAGTGCTTAGAGGAGTATCCTGTTGGTCTGCACGAGATGCTCTTGGAACCTTTTTGGCTGAGACTACTCCGGATTCTATAATAAAGTGGGGGGGGTCACATCTGGGGGGGGTCTGATTCGAAGTGTCTTGGAGGGTTCGGGGGGGATCTGGGCAATGGGCCGCCCTTTCATGGATGGTCTGGGGGGGTCTACAATTTCTCGTCTGGAAGGGTTGTGACCCCCTCCCTTTTACTATGAAATCTGGAGTAATAGTATCCAGGAAGGGCAAAAACACACAGACACAATGCTCTATGTTCTAAGGGCATCTGTTTCTGGTCTTGGAGCACTCTTCTGTTCAGAGAACATGTCGTGATAGGCCTATATAGGAATGCCGGGACGGTGGGGCCCTGTTCAAGTCGCATCGATCCACGCCGCGGACGTTCAACGTTGAATTCCGTTGGCAACCTAGGATTGTTTGATGTTGAACGATCTGAAGTTTCGGAAGCGGCCGATCGTTCAAGGTTGGACGATTCCCGCGGGATCACTAACCAACGCCCAGGTCGACACGACACAAATTCGCAGTACGTCACATCTTCGGGGGACCTCGTCTGTCCCCAAAGCTGGTCCCCTCGATGCGGTTTCGACGCGGACTCGGCGTGGATTCAGCGCGGATTCGACGTGGATTCAATGCGGATTCGACGAGTCCTACGTGGAGTCGACACGGATTCGTCGGGGATAGGGCGCGGTTGGACAGAGGAGGTCTCCCGAAGAGGCAACAAAAGAGAGCGGGGGGATTGGCTCCTCAGGAAAGGGACAGGCTTCTGACATCGCAGTTGTGTCACAGCTGGCGATTTTGCCTCGTCTCGGGCTCTCGGACGGCTCGGCTCGACTAACGCCGCAGAAGCATGGATCCAAGGCTCCCGCCGTGCAACGAGGCGGAGGGACGTCGAAGAAGAAGAAGAATAGGAAGCGGGATAAGCATAAACATAAACGTTCGGAGTTCCGAGCGGATTTCTTGCATCAGCGCCAGAACCCCATGGTGGCGCCTCCAGCCACGTCCCCGGGCGCCCTCCGCGCGCCAGGGCGGGGTTTCCGGCGCGCATCCAAGAAATCCGCGCGGACCTCGAAACAGTGATTCCCCAAACGATGTTTGTTTTTATGGTTTCCTATCTCGTTTCGCAGGAACCGGGTCTGCGGGCCGCTCTAGCCGCCATGTGGCCGCCGTCGCCGCCTCATCGCCGCCCGTCGCCGCCTTTCGCTCCCCCCACCCCCGCGCTCCAGAAAACGAGGGGGGGGTCACTACGGGTTCGAAACACCCCCCCACTCTCGCCGCTGGCAAACGACTCCCGGGTCCCCACCACCGTCCTCACCACCGCCCTCACCACTGTCCCCACCACCGCCGTCCCCACCACTGTCCCCACTGCCCCCATTGCTCTCACCACTGTCCCCACCAGTGCCCCACCACTGTCGCACTGTCCCCACTGCCCCCACCACTGTCCCCACCACTGTCCCCACCACGGTCCCACTCTCCCCACTGTCCCCACGGTCTCCGTCACCGTCCCACTGTTCCCACCACTGTCCCCACTGTCCCCATCACCGTCCCACTGTTCCCACCACTGTCCCACTGACCCAACTGTCCCAAACCACTGTGCCACTGAGCTGTCCCACTGTTCCCTCCACTGTCGCACTGTCCCACTGTGCCCACCACTGTCCCCACTGTACCACTGTCCCGTTGTCTCACCACCGTCCTCACCACCGCCCTGCCACTGTCCCCGCCACGACCGTCCCCACCACTGTCTCACTGTCCCCGCACCACTGTCCCCACACCATTGTCCCCGCCACCACCGTCCTCACCTCCACTGTCCCCAACCACTGTCCCTCTGTCCCCACCACCACCGTCCCCACCACTGTCCCACTACCCCCACTGTCCCCACCACTGTTCCCACCATTGTCCCCACTGTCCCCATGCCCCCAACAGTATCTCACTGTCCCCACTGTCCCCACCACTGTCCCCACCACGGTCCCACTCTCCTCACCGTCCCCATTGTCCCCACCACTGTCCCAGTCCCACTGCCCCCAGTGTCCCCACCGCTGTCCCACTGTACCCACTGCCGAACCGGTAGTGACCTCCCCTCCTTTTCATGATGGACCAGGCGGGGGGGTTTGACCCCCCCCCTGGTTTTCGAGGGGGGGGACTGGACGGTTTGGAAACCTCCAGTGACCCCCCCCCGGTTTTCTGACAGCAGCGACAGAACGCGCTCTTTTCATATATATATGTATATATACATATATATATATATATATTACACCACATAGTATTGGTTGCACCAGATATATTGCACCACATAGCTCACATCACGTAACCCACACCACTTATGTATGCACATGTTCTTATATGTATACACATATCCATATTGCACCACGTATATTGCACCTCACAGATTGCACCACACATATTGCACCGCATAACTTGCACCACGTGGCTTGCACAACACAGACTGCACTACGCAGTTCGCACCACCTACAGTGTGCACCGCGCAACATGCGAGAACACTGCCTGGGGCCAGCGCTGGCTAATCTGTTCATGCCGATGTGTCTTCCTGTAGGTCTGGCCCATCAGGGAGGGAGGGGCTCCCGGTGCGGGCAAACTTTGTATCCACATCGGATTCGTCTTGTAGCTCCGGGCCCCCCTCCCCAGAACCCACAGGCGCAGTGGATAAGGATAACACAATCTGGCCCCTAGATGCCAGATTTCTACTCATAGCCACCACGCCTCGGCCTTTTGGCGCCCCTTCCCAGAAACTTCAAGACGCAGCGGATATGGATATAGATTTTGCCCGCACCTGGGAGGGGTGCAAGGACAAGAAGGAGGGGGAGGAGGAGGAGGAGGAGGAGGAGGAGGAGGAGGAGGAGGAGGAGGAGGAGGAGGCAAGGATGAGAAGGATGAGGTTGGAAGGATGAGGATGAGGAGCCTCACCTCCTCCTCCTCCTCCTCCTCCTCCTCCTCCTCCTCCTCCTCCTCTCCTTCTCATCCTTTTCGTCGGTTCCCAGCGGTTCGCTGGCCTCGGGAGGCCTCTCTCCGGCGGCCGCCCGTCGCCGCGAGGCGCCCCTTGGGGGGGGGCCGGGCCGTCCCGCGAACACGGCCGCGGGAGGCCAGCAGCTACGCCCCGAGCACGGGACGCCAAGGTTATGTTGCTCCCATCGTACTTGAGGACCACATCCCAGAAATGATTTCGAGGAGGAGGAGGAGGAGGAGGAGGAGGAGGAGGAGGAGGAGAGAGCCGAGCCGCGGCCACGGGCGAGGGCGCCCTCTGGCGCCGCCGCGGAAGGGGGGAAGGTGGATGGGGGGGAAGACTTCTCAGAATTATGCTGCTCCCATCGTGCTTGAGGACCACATCCCAGAAATGGCTTCGAGCACCCAGAAAAGTGTCGGAGCAGCGTCGGGCGAGCGCCCCCCAGGGCCCGACGCGTGAAAGCCCTCGAGTTTCAGTGCTTCTCTTCTGGTGCTCGAAATTCTTGCTGGTGATCAAGGCTACAGTAGGTTGGAACAACATGACGCCAAGGATCATTGGAGGAGACTGGCGAATGGATCAGGCGGCCGCCTGGCCAGTTCGCCAAGCTCCTCCAATGATGGGAGGAGGTCAGGAGTTCGAAGCCTCCGCCCCGGTGGGGAAGCTTCGCTTCCTGATCGCCTGTCTGTCGCCGACCGCGGCCTGCGCCCCCCACCGCCGCGCGGGAGCGCGCGGCGCTGCCACCAACGGGGGCCCGTCGGCGATCTATCGGCGATGCATCGCCGAGTCCAGGTCGGTGTGCTCCCCCTTGAGCCAGTCCACACGCTGCAGGAGGAAAAAACACTCCGTCACAAGTAATCGTCGATTCCCGAGAGCATGTGTGAAAAGATTGGAAGGGGTGGGGGAAGACAAAACCCAGAAAAAAATGAAAATACAGGGAATCCTCGTATTTGTGTCTATTCATTTGTGTGCCCAGGGCCCCTCCCAACGTTTCTTGCCCCTTCAGGCGAGCTGGTCGGTGTGGGCACGCACTGGCCCTGCCGGACGACGGCCCTGGACGCAGACACCGCGGCGAGGATCGAGGAGTGGATGCGGTCCCACAGCCCGCAGCCGTAGCGCCAGAGTGTCGAAAACAGAGACGAGACGGTCTCCACCATTCGCCCTCCGCGAATTATCTGAATTGCTCTCCTCTCGTCCTCCCCTCTTTCCGCCCCCAGCGACGACCACCACCACGTGGACGGCGGCGGCGGCGGCCACGACGACGCCAATCACGGCGGCCACGAGGATGGTGGCGGCTGCGAGGACGACGCGGAGGGGGTGTGCGGGTGGGCTTCTGGCTTCCTCGTGGCCTTGATGTGGTGCTTGATGGGGCCACGGCGACCACGACGAACACAACGATGCTGACCCCAGGCATCCGACGCCTTGACTTGTTCGATATTTGGGGGCCCGGAAGTCCCAGCACTTTCCCCAGGGCCCGTTTTTTGGTCTTTGAGGCTTGGCAAGGGCCCCCGAGGCCGAAAGCGGCCAGAATCTTCCAGTCGCGATTTCTGGTTAATCTCACGACGCGGGCATTTCTTGGACGACCACGCCGGCCTCCATTGCGACGACGACCATCACCACCATGCCGGCGGCCGCGGCGATGGCGGCGGCGGCGGCGGCCGCAGAGGCGCAGCGCGACGCGGACGCCCCCGGCGCACCGCGCGACGCTGGCGACGCCGAGGAGGACCCGCCGCGGCCCCCTTCGGGTGCTGTGAAGGCGGCGGCGCGCTCGGCGGGAAGACCGTAGAAGAGGAGGAGGAGGAGGAGGAGGAGGAGGGGGAGAGGAGGAGGGGAGGAGGAGGAGGAGGAGAGGAGGGAGGAGGAGGAGAAAGAGGACAAGAGAAAGAGAAAGAGGAGGAGGAGGCGGAGGAGGAGGAGGAGGAGAGGAGGAGGAGGAGGAGGAGGGGAGGGGGGAAGGGGGATGGATGCGGAGGAGGAGGGAGGGGAGGAGGGGAGACGTGAGGAGGAGGAAGAAGAGGTGAGGAGGGAGGGAGGAGGAGGAAGAGGAGGAGGAAAAGTATGAGGAGAGTATAGGAGGAGGGAAGGAGGAGGAAGGGGAGGATGCGAAGGAGGAGGAGGCGGGGAGGAGGAGGAGCAGCCCAGCGAGGAGGATGCGGAGGAGGAGGCGGAGGAGGAGGAGGTGAGGAATGAGGGGGAGCAGGAGGAGGAGAGAGGAGGAGGAGAAGAGAAGGAGGAGGAGAAGGAGAAGGAGGAGGAGGAGGAGGGCGAGGAGGAGGGGAAAGGAAGGATGGCGGAGGAGGAGGAGGCCGAGGAGGAGGAGGAGACGAGGAGAAGGAGGAGGAGAGGAGGGAGGAGGTGAGGAAGGAGGAGGAGAGGAGGAGGCGGAGGAGGAGGAGCAGGAGGAGGAGGAGGGGGAGGAAGGAGGAGGAGGAGGAGGGAAGGAGGGAGAGGAGCAGGAGGAGGAGGAGGAGGCGGAGGAGGAGGTGGAGGAGGAGGAGGAGGAGGAGGAAGAGGAGGAGGAGGAGGAGGAGGAGGAGGAAGCGGAGGAGGAGGAGAGGAGGAGGTGGGAGAGGAGGAGGAGGCGGAGGAGGAGGATGAGGAGGTGGAGGAGGAGGAGGAGGAAGAGGAGAAGGAGGAGGAGGAGGAGGACCAGTGGAAACGCAAGAGTCATTGACGATGTTAAAATTAACCCTCCCTTTAAGCTCCCTTTTCATTGGCCCCTACAACCGTTCATTCTCATTGAGGGAACTGTCTCGTTGGAAGACAACAGTTTGAAGATCCTGAAGTGCGCCAAAACATTATTCTTGGGAATTTCAGCGCCGCATTTCGTGGCCCCATAAGGGGGCTCCACCGAAGGCCCCAGTGGCACCGCCCGCATGTGTCAGCCACCACCCAGTACAGCGCTTCGTGGCCCCATAGGGAGCTCCACCGAAGGCCCCAGTGACACCGCCCGCATGCGTCCCCCCCTCCCGTGGCCCCATAGGGAGCTCCACCGAAGGCCTCAGTGGCACCGCCCGCATGCGTCGGCCACCACCTAATACAGCGTTTCGTGGCCCTGTAGGGAGCTACAGAAAGACCCCAGATGCACCGCCGGCATGCGTTTCCCCCAACCAGTACAGCGTTGCGTGGCCTCTCATCGCGAGCTCCAGCGAGTGGCACCGCCCGCATGCGTCAGCCACACCCAGTACAGCGCTTCGTGGCTCATAGGGAGCCCCACCGGGAGCCCCACCGAAGGCCAACAAATGGCGAGTGAATACTTTGCGTCGCGCCTAGGCGGGAACGCCACATTCAGGCGACATCTGCGTGGGGCCGAAGCGATACCCACAGTTTCGCCTGCTCGCTCGTCGATGAAACATGTGCGTCGCCCCCTAGCGCGATCAAAACGCAGTAGAAACTGGAACATTTACAATACCAGGGGCGGACAATTTTTGAATCCCAGGACTTTTGGACGGTCCGGGACGACGTCGGGGTGGTGTACATTTGTTTCCCCGTATACCTTGGAAAGCAGCGAAAGATGTATGCACGACGGTCCCGTAAACAGCAGGACCCGTTTTCTGGGTCAAATTTCAGTGCAGGGCTGGACAAAAAACGTCGGTGCATACAGTTCGGTTCTCTACCAGGAACTGCTGAATGAACTCAATTATCCTTGCCCCGCCTTCCACACCTGACGTTTGTCAATCCACCCGCCGTCGGCCTTCGTCCCTGCATACTCCTTCCTCCCTGCTCTCCGATCGTTCATCCTCTCTCCATGGCCACCCCACGTCATCCTACTCGGCACCCTGCTACTTCCTCGTCCGCCTCCTCCTCCTTGTCCTCCTCCTGCTCCTCCTCCATTGTTTTCCTTATACATAACTATCTCCCTGTCGCACCCCGGGGCCAGTTTCTAGGGCGGGCCGGATGTTTCGCCTGAAACTGCCTTACCATTTCTGACCCTGAAGCTTACCGCATTTTTACACATGGAGGGCGGGCCGTTTTCAAAGTGCGCGCATTCGCCTTAGCGCCGCGCGCGTTCGTTTTTTTTGGTTGCAGAACCTTTTCAGATTAGGGCGGTTCGTTTTCAAACAATTGCTTTCGCTTTCGCTTTCGCGTCCCGCACAGTCGTTTTTTCATATCCGCAAACGTTCCACGGATTCCCATGACCGGCGTACCAGAAATTGCGCTTTAGAAGGACTCAGGATCATGAAAGTGCAGCAGTTACGTTGGTTCACGGTGATGAAGTCCCAGGAATGGCGTTCTGGCACGATTCAGGATCGTTAAGGCGCAACGGTCAGGTTCATCCGTGGCGTTGAAATCTCGAGGACAATGTTTTGGCATGCGTCAGGGTCTTCAAACGGTTGTCTTCCAACGAGGTAGTTCCCTCAGCGGAAATTAACCGTTGCAGGGGCCTATGAAGAGGGAGCTTGGAGGGAGGGTTGATTCCAACATCGCTGATGACTCTTGGGTTTACACTGGTCCTCCTCATCCTCCTCATCCTCATATTCGTCGTGGGGAGACGATCGCCCTCGACGCCCCAAGTGCCTTGAGAGGTGAAGCCATCGCCCCTTGGAGGCCGAGGCGCCAATGTTTAACCGAAGGCCTGGGATAGTCGAGTCTACTCCCCCCTTTCCACCTGAGAGTTGAGTCGCCCAGGCCACGACATCATTGGTCGGGGCAGAGGGCGGCGAAGCCGAAGGTCGTCATCGATGGGGAAAGTACGAATTGAACTTGCCATCCTCCTATCTTGAGTAGCAACGCTGCCACGAACGTTTCGAGCCGCCAGGCTCCCCCGTGAAAACAGACGCACGAGGGAATCCTACTCCTTGGCATCGCTCGGACGTGTGCATTTTTTTCCTTCGGCGAGGACCATCGAGGAGCATCCTTGATCATTTGGCGAAAAAGCCACGCACCAAACCGAAAAAAGCACAGGGAATGGACGTCCGAGCGATGGCCAGACTCCTCTCTCCCCAGGGCTTTCGGACCCCCCCCAAGGGTATCCTTAGACCGTGCTCGCATCTCATTGTGCATGCGAGTTGCCGGGACGAAAATCTAGCATCCCCCCCCCCCCCGAACCCGAAATGTTATTATCCCCACCGTGTGATTTGCAGCGGTATCTGGTTACGGGGCTGTGCCGCCCCAGGTGCGAACACCCACCACTGGGTCGAAGGGGGTTGCCTGCCATCGTGACAGAGGTGGGCGAGCCTGGCGCGAACGCAACACACCGACCTCTGGGTGCGCGTCAGTCGATTCAACACGGGGACACACGATGATGGCCATTCTGCTGATGGTGTCGGTGAGGGTGATGGTTATGGTGCTTCACGATGATGACGGTGGCGATGGTGATGATGATGGTGATGCTGATGCTTACGATGATGATGAGGATGATGATGCTGATGCTGATGCTGATGCTTATGATGATGATGGTGATGATGCTGATGCTGATGATGATGATGATGCTGATGCTGATGCTGATGCTGATGCTGATGATGACGATGATGGTAATGACGATGGTGATGATGGTGATGATGACGAGTACCAGGATGATGGTGATGGTGGTGACGGTTAACGTCCACCCGAGAAATGCCCAACCCGCTCCGAGGCCCTACCCGCCGGCGCCCACTCCACGGCCTCCCGCCGCCAGGACCTCGAGCTCCCCTGCGAGTGGCCCGGCGCCGCCGCCGGCGGCAGCGGCTCGGACTCCGGCGGCTCCTCGCCAGGGAGGGCAAACAGCGCGCGCGCGGGTGCGGCGGTACGCGAGCAGGTCCCCGACCACCTTGTGTGTGTGTGTGTGTGTGTGTGTGTCAGCCTTGCCTGAAGTCGGGCCTGTCCCTGTACAGGAGGAGTAGCCAAAGATAGTCAAAAGATGGTCGGGGGACGATTTGTCGATTTTTATGTTGACTCTATGGTTCAGCATGTTCGGGGTATGTTTAATTCTTCGCCCCAAATCCGCCTGTCGGGGGACATGCCCGACCTGAGCCTTGCCTTTGTCTTCGAACGGATCCGTGGCGGAAAGCTAACTACCCCTCGGACCCCAGGGGGCCGCGCATTGGACAAGCACGTCGTCGGCTGTCCAGGCCCGCGGGGTCGCCATGGAGCAGAGGGTCCCGAGTGCCACGGCCCCCCCATCGGAGGTTTTGGTATGCCGCCCTACGTCGCTTAGCGGCCCTGTGTCTGTCGACGTTGCCGAAGTATGCCGCCCTCGGGCTCTTCTTGGGAAGCCCCGCGGGCCCCGTGGGCCACCCGGGTAACGCCCCGCTGCCGCTGGGAAACCAGAAAACGATCCCCAGCACGAAGTGGGTGGAACGTCCCAAGGCTCATGCAGTTCTGACGGGTCGTAGAAGGTTCTCGAGGGCCCAGGCCACTCAATTCTTTTTGCTTCGCGTATCCCCACCAGCCGGCGCTGCTGAGGTCGCCGGCCCGTCGGCGTTAGGCAATTCGGCTCTTTCGGACCTCACTCGCCGCTGGCGCCCTCGCCTGCGGTTGCGGACAAGAAGTATCCCCACCAGCCACTTCAGAAACCCTGCCCTTCAGAGTTGACGGGAAAAAGAAACAAGAGACACATCTAGGGATAGAAAGCGAGCAAGGGGGGGGCCTTGGAAGGCCTCTTCTGGCCATCTCTGGGTGCCGCGTGGGGGCGAGGGAACAGGAGGAGGAGGAGGAGGAGGAGGAGGAGGGCTTGCGGGCGCGACAGCCCTGTGCCTGGATGGCACTCGAGCCTGTTTTGTTTGTCTGGGCGATAACGCTCGTGATCGCCCCCGCCACTACCCCTTCCTGGTCACGTCACGCTGCTTTCCCCACGCGTCTCAAGGAATCTTCCAGGGTTTCCAGAACATCTCAAGGGTTTCCAAGGAATTCGTCGTCGTCGCTGTTGTCCGCGACCGGGAGGTGGAGGAGGAGGAGGAGGAGGAGGAGCAGCAGCAGCAGCAGCATTCCAAGATGTTCCGAGGAATTCTTCATCAATCCCCTCCTCCTCTGCTCCCTCTCCCTCCTCCTGGCCTTCCTCCTCCCGAGGCCCGGGGGGGTTGAAGAAGGCCCCGGGAGGCCGAAGCCCGCCGTGATGTGATCGGGGAAGGCCAACCCGTTATCGCGGATTACAGTCGGGCCGCTGAAAAAGGTGGGCAGGTCGCGCTTCTCCTCCTTCTCCTCTTCCTCCTCCTCCTCCTCCTCCTCCTCCTCCTCCTCCCCCTCCTCCTCCTCCTCCTCCTCCTCCTCCTCCCCTTCGTGGGGCGGGCGTCTGCTGGCGCCGCAGCGAGCCTGGACGGCTGCGACGACCTGCCCAACCCGTTATCGTCGGGGAGGGGCTCAGGTGCGTTTTCATTGCTTTGCACTTTGTCTCAGGTCTTCCTTGGGCCTTCTCTGGGAAGTCGGAGTCTCACGTATGGGACAGACGCACCTCGTTCCTCATCGAGGGTTGCCTATGACAGCGCTTCGACTGCAAGCGCACGAAGCCGACACATGCACGAGGGCGGGGCGCTTCCGAGCGATGGTAATGCCTTCCGAGCAGCCCCCCCCGATCACGCCCGCTATCGCGGATCATAAAAAAGCAGGCGCTGCAGGCTTCAACGGGCAGCCTCCCCGGCTCTGGGCCCCTCCCCAGGCATCCAGCTGCTCCCATCAACTAGGTCCAAGTCGGGCCTGTCCCTCTTCAGGAGGAATATTCAAAAATAAGCAAAAACAAAACAAAGTAGCCTGGAGACGATTGTGGACCATTTTTGAAGATTTGTGGGGTATTTTTGTTTACGATGTCTTATTTTTCGTCCGAAATCGGCCTGTAATTAGGGGGACTGGCCCGACTCAGAACTAGGTCGATGCGTGGCCCCCCCTGAAGGTCTGGATCTCTTCCCTGCGGCTGGTTGTTCGCCCTGGAAGTCGTTTCTGTTGACGCTCCCGAGGTCCGGCGAGGGCTCAGCCCAAAACGGCCCGCTCCAGCTTCTGTTGAAACGCCGGATCTCTGGGCCCCCAATGGTCGTTGAGTCGGGCCTGTCCCCCAACAGGAGGAAGATTCAAGCATAGTCAAGAAAGAGTGTGCGGGCGATTTTTTTATATGATGTTCTTCACCATTGGGGAGTTGTTGCTCGACTAGCTTGTCTTGTTCGTCCAGAGTCCGCCTGCAGGAGGGCATGCCCGACCGAACCCTGCCGCAGCCCGCCGCGGGGCCAGGCCGCCCGAGGCGCCTCGCGCGCGGCATGCTGACGTCCGGCTCTTCCCTGCGCCCGCCAGCGCCGGCGGCCCCCCGCCGCGGCGCGCCGCGGCGCTCCCCGCAACCCGCTCCCCCCCCTCTCCTCGAGCAGTGGCGAGGCGTCTTGGCTGGCCCATATAGTTGACGAACCAACAACACACACCCATACCCATAGAGGGGTCGGAGAGGGCTATGAGTGCGTGTTGTCGGGTGGAGGTCCCCGCTCGAACGGGAGCGCTCCCCAGGGTCCGACAACCCGCACCCATACCCATAGCCAGTCCTCCTCCCAACGACCCCCCTATGGGTATGGGTGTGTGTTGCTCGTTCGTCATATAGAGGGGGCGCGCATCAAGAAACCATACGCTTTTCGTCAGGGTAGCCTGGGTTCTTTCGCTCCGCGCGCTGCGCGGCGACGTCCCGCGGCTGTTGAAGGAGCTGCCGCGTTCAAAGAGCTCCAGGATTCCGCTCTGGTGCTCTTCGCGCGCGGGTTTTCAGGGTTGGGCTTCTTGCGAGGGTTTCTTGCGGCCGCGCCCGCACTGTAGGCCCGCCAAGGAATGTTCCAAGAACCCCCGAGGCCCAGCGTACTGAACAAACATCGGGACGACGGTGTTTCGAAGTTGTTGGCCTCTGGGGGCCCTCGCCGGGCCCCGTGATCTTCAAAGAACGACTCGGGATGAACAGCCGGTCCTGGGGAATGCATGGGTCGAGACTGCTGGGGACCCCGTATTGAAAAAATCACGACGTCGGATCTCTGGGACCTTTTGAGGCTTGCAGGACATGCTCTTGGTGCATGTCTGGCCGAGGCTGTCTTGGTGCAGCACGCGTCGGGCCCCCCTGTGCCATAAGACCATGGTCTTTCTGCTCTCGGAGCACTTGTTTGGGGCTCTGCGAGCATGACGTGGTCTAGGCCTATGGGCATGCTGGGACGGTCGCTCCCTGCTCAGCTCTCCCCCGCCGCGGCGCCCGCCCTGGCGGCGCGGCGGCGGCAGCGCGGCGGCCCGCGCCCGCGCGCGCGGGGGGCGGCTCGCTCGCCCGCGCGCGCCGCGGGGGGCGGATGGGGCGCTCGGCGGGCGCAGGCGGCCCGCGCGCGCGCGGGGCGGCTCGCTTTCGCCCGCGCGCGCGCCGCCGCTCGCCCGGGGGGAAGCCCCAAAAACACACTCTGGGGAAACACACACACAACACGCACACACACATTGACACACACACACAACACACACAACACACACACACACACACAACACACACAAAACACAAAAACAACACACACACACACACACACACGCTCTCACACACACACACACACATTCACACACACACACACAACACACACAGTGGGAAAAAAAAACACGCTGTGGGACAAAAAGCACACACACAGTGTGTGTGTGTGTGTGTGTGTGTTTTCCCACAGTGTGGGTTTTTTCCAACAGATCCAGCGCATGGGAGAGACGGGTCCTGAAGGAAGCCCAGGGAGACATCGGGCGTCTCGAAAAAGAGTCGAGGCGGAGGCTTCTCCGTCGTTTTCGGCCTCCATGGGGGCCCTCGCCGGGCCTCGGGACTGTCGAAAAGCGACCCGGAGTGAACAACCAGCCCCAGGGAAGTGGTCGAGAGGTCGGGGGGCCCGTGTCTTGGAAAAATCGTGACGTCGGATGTCTGGGAACCAGTCCTGAGGTTTTCTGCTGTTTTCGGGTTCTCCGGGGCCCTCCACGGGCCCCAGAGATGCGCATTGCAAACTTCAGTCGATCGCAAACATGGATCAAGGGGGCGTGGATTAGCGACGGGTCCCGTTTCCATGCGAACAATCGCGGATTACCTCCGCCGAGCGAGGCGGCAGCGGCCGCATCTTGGGGAGGGCCCCATCCCCCGATCCATGGATTTGGCGACCGCGCGCCAAATCCAAGGATCGTTAATTTTTTTGTTCGGCGGCCCGCAAGGAAAAGTCCAGAGGGCGTGTTCAATGCCAGATAATTAGTGAGGGCCAGGCCACAAGGAGGAAGCCGCCAAAGGCGCCAACCCACGCACGTGCAACATGCAGTACAGGCGACAGCGGGACCGAGCCAGAATATTGACCGACTGTTTGGATCGTTACTCCAAGGCCTGAGTTTTTTTCAGTTCCTGGCCTCCAGGGGCGCTCGCCGGGCCCTTGGACCGCCAACAACGATTCGGGATGAGCAACCCGTCCTGGGGATGGGTCCGAGACTTCCGGGTACATCGCAGTGCAGGAATCACGACGTCGGATCTCTAGGAACGGGTCCTGAGGGACACGGGTCCTGAGGTTTTCCGCTAGTTTCGGGTTCTCCGGGGCCCTCCACGGGCCTCGGGACTGTCAGAAAACGAGTCGGGACGACGAGCTGGTCCCGAGGGCATGGCGTTCCCGCACCCAATCCGGCACACCCCTCACACGCTTCGAAAACCCATAGAGAGCTCCACCGAAGGCCCCAGCGGCACAGTCCGTATGGCACACCCGCACCCGATTCGGCACACCCCTCATACGCTTCGTGGCCCCATAGGGAGCTCCAACGAAGG